TTAGTATGACTGAGAATTATCCATGGGAGAAGAACATAAACCCTAATTTTGGATTTTTGAAGGTTAATCATATAGTAGGACCGGGTTCACATTTTATCTTGATCCCATACTACCTAATGGGTTGTTCTGGCTGTCGACCTCTCTACCTTGAGCTTCTCTAAGTTTTTAACCGAGTTCAGCTCAAATACCAGTCACAACTAAATATCATTAAACAAAAGGTGAAAAAAAGACAAAGAAAGCGACCACTCCTATCAAACTCTTGGTCTTTTTAATAGGAATTTGCGTGTTTGAAATTGTATCATCCTTGTGTCTGCATATAAATATTCCCTTTCTTTGATTCTCTTAATATTACATAATAATAACCAATTCTTTCATCTTGCTCACTAGTTTGTGAACTGAATACTTTTCGACATTATTTTTCATTATTTTTAACTGAAAAAAAATTGATATTTGCAGTTGTTACCCCTTTATATCACCTTTGTTTTCTATTTAACACTGATTGTTAGCATTGTGATGCCTGTCTTCTTGTTGCACCAGGATAGGAACTATATCACTATAAAAAGCCGTGTATTATATCCAGAATTTCGTGGTCGGATGGTATGTACCAGACTTTCCTGCTTCTTGTTAGAATGGCTAACTTGTTTGAACTTTGAACTGTCTGGTGTGAAGCTTATGGTACATCGAGATAAAGGAACTTCTGTAGATTTTGTTGTATTGCACCATTTAACCAACTGTTTTGGCAAGGTGCTTAGTGGAGACGTGAATGATAGGAATTTTCCCATCCTTGCTTTAGACATTTTGTTCTTCAGCTCTGGAACTTTCTTTTCTGAGCTTAAAATAATATATAACCATTTATCTAAAAAAATATAACCATATATGTGACTCTATTAACTTCTGTTTAAGTACGGGCTTATGTGCACTCTATTTGTGAATCTTTACTTACATATTTTGTATAGTAGTTTTCATCACCATCTTACCTTTCTATATGATCAATTTAGTTTCTTCTACTGTGCACTTTATCCAGTTACTTTCATCTCTCTGTATATTCGGTGATTGGTATTTATCATTAAAATCTGTGTCTTGTACCATAATCTCTTGTAATGTAACTGTTACTTGGGCATGCTTAATTTGATATCATCCTTTTCTTTTGGTTGGGGGTATGTGGAATGATTCTTTCAGGTGTCTGCATTTCTCTCTCACCACTTTGCAGAGGTTACAGACTATAGTTTTACTGCTGATATGGAGACTGAGGTATGTGGATCAATCTTTTATTAGTCATTAAATGGTCTTTCAGTTTCTTACATATTTTATCATACCTCAGTAGCCATATCAAGTATGTTTGAAATGTGGCAAAGTTTCAATTATTCTCTGTTTCTTCTGCCTTCAGCTTGATAATGTTTCTGCTGGCTTAACTGAATGGAAAGGCCTCCTGAGGGACTACTGGATGCGATTCAGCTCATACTGTAGTCGTGTTGAAAGTGTCCATATTCATCAAGTATGTTCCCGACCTTGGTTAAGTACAAAGCTGAATGCTCTCTCTAGAACATTTGGATTTTTATTTCTTTAGGATATCAATTATATCTTTCGATGTTAATTCTGAAGTGGAGAAGATGTTGGAGAAAAAATTTGGGGGCTTTTTGTTTGCTTCTCTGCCTGATCAAAGCAGGACATGTTCAAGGTACTTATGAACTCTATGGTCTTTTTAAGGAAATTCATATAATTGAAGTGAAAATGGTGACATTTATGAATACCTGTTCATTTCAGGATAGTTTAGTCCTGTCTTCTAAATTGTAAGCCTTCCACAATCCTTGGTCTGGCTAATTGGGTTTTGGAAATGAGATAACACATAAATCATCTACAAGCCTGCCCTGTAGTATACTTTTTTACATATGATGATATGACATTCTCTGATGTTCAGTCTTGCCTGATACAGAAATTCATCAGTCATCCCAAGCATTTACAAATCACTAAGGGTCCATTTTGCTAGCTAATGCTTGTTCTATGAGTTGCTAAAAGTGCAAAAGGTGCTTTGAATGTAGAGTGTGGTAGTGGTTAATTATATTATAAAATTAATAAGAAATATTAAAATAATAAAAAATGGAAAAAGTAACTGTTGCAATTATTCAACTAGTGCTAACTCTTATATACAAAATTGTTCTAATAATTTTAGTTAGCTTAAAGTATTTTCTATTTTATTTATTGTACTCCTTATAAGTATTAACTTTAACTGATTATTATTTAGTTTGAAAATAAAAATGATTCAAATAATTTATAGTAAATATAATAATATTATGGGATATTAATATTATATTTTTATTTTGGAAATATTAAATTGATATTAGTTTAATGTAAAATTAACAGATATACTTCAAAAGTTTCTATTTTCAGCTTTTGTTTTGATAAAGTTAAACAAAGTTTGCTTTTACACGAGCCAATTTTCGTTTTTTTAGCATTAGGGCCAGATTTTTATTTTTAGTAGCAAAAACAGAAGAAGAAACTTAGCCGAATAGGCACTAAGACATGTTGGCTAATCTCTGCTACTATCACGTGAAGTAGCCTTCTGACAGGAAACTACAAACCTCTAAATATTGTTTAGAGAATAAGCATGTTTTCTAGTTTGTCATATGCCTTGTATTTTTCTTGAGTAGTTATTATTTGCTGAAATGAATTACAGTACTCTTATCTAATTTTTTCTCAGTTGTATGGAGGGGAAATTGATTTTCAAAGTAAGTAGGTACGGTGCTGGCTATTTCATAGGATGTGATCAACACCCAAAATGCAAGTAAGTAACATTCATCACAATCTAAACTTGATCATCAACGTGCATTATGTTTTCGTCTGCATGCAGTCTCTCTCTCTCTCTTGCTTGCTTTGTCTATCTATGTGTATGTGTACATCTATGTCCATTTATGTCACATCACATTCACACATTATATATTCTGGTTGTGGTGTATTCCAACTAGTGTTTTAGTCTAGCATGGTGGATTATTGTCTGTTTGACGTCTAGGAAGGTTATCACTGATGGTTTTTTAAACTTATTTGTATAAACATACAGGTATATTGCTAAGACATTGTATGGTGGCTGTGAAGAACCAGATGTTCCTGAAAGGAACAACAGTGTGGAGGAGCCAAAATTGCTAGGTCTCCATCCTAGTTCTGGGGAAAAGGTTTGCATTAAAATTTGATTTTCTGACCTTCATGTTAGTTCATCTATGAAGTTCATTATTCTGGATTCTTTTTCTAATTTTAGAAATGATTTTATCTTGGGAAATTTTTATAATAGATGAAAATATGTTTTACTCCAGATTCTTTTAAAGAATGGTCCCTACGGATTCTATGTACAGCTCGGTGAGGACAGAACAGGATACTTACCTAAAAGAGCATCTGTTTCCCATGTATGTGAATCTACCTATTATTTCCATGTGTATTGGATTATGGAGGCATATTTACTAGAACTTCCATGTTATATGAAGTGTTCATTTTTCAACCACTAGAATAAGTTTTTCAGTTCATATTTTAAAAGTTAGTCAGGACAGAAGTTTTGTCTTTTTCACCAGGATAATATTTTTTCTTGGGGCGGGGGAGGGTAAGATCATTTGCGGTATTATTTTTGCCATGTTATCCAAATTGACACTATTTTCTGTAAATAGCTCATGTAATACTGGCTAGTGATGACTATTTTTTTTGGTTGACGTATTACCATGGTTTTAACTATGTTCTTGAAGGATTGGTGCTCAACTGTGATTTTATTGCTGACTTCCGGTGTACATATATGTTCTTGCAGATAAAAGAAGTGAACTCTATCACAATTGAAGATGCTCTTGAGTTGTTGCGTTACCCTGTGACCTTGGTAATTTTAATTTGTCTTGTCTAAATACAAGTTTTTTGTTTCAAAAATCAGTCATTCATGAATTGATTTCTTTCCACTTTTTAGGGAAACCATCCGGCAGATGGGCAGCCTGTAATTTTGAAGCTTGCAAGATTTGGATTTACTGTTCGGCATCGGCGTACTATGGCTTCTGTTCCTAAGGTACATCCTTTTTCCCCCTTTGCTACTTCAATATCGAAATAGGTTGAACAGTGAGCATTTCCAGAAAGTGGCTTCCTTACAGATGCATTCATCGATTTGTGGTATCAGTCATTTGATTATGCTACTGGAAACTAGTCACCATCTCTTGCCTGTGTCATTTGCATTACAATTTGCAGAATATGAAGCCAACCGAGGTAACACTAGAGAAAGCATTGGAGCTTTTATCCAGTAAAGATGTGAGGCGAAGTGGGCGTCCTAAGAAGAAGAAGCCAGTCGTGGAAGATGCTGTTGAGGCAATGTAGCCGAAGCCTCTGCATATATACGACATACAGGAGAGGACTGACCAGGTTTGTCGATGCGGCACACTTTTTCTAGTTCAATTTTAAGTGTTATTTGTAATTTAATTCTAAGTGTTATTATTTTATTTTTTTTGGTATGTTTTAGTAACTCTAGATTTATTTTAGTTTTCTTAGTATTTCCTATTTCTAATAAGATTTCGAGTTTTAGCATTTTCTATTTCCAGTTGTACACCTTATAAAAGGACTTATTTGGTAACACTTTTAGATATAAGTTAATACAATTCAATATTATTCTTTAAAGTGTAGCATTTGTTGTGATTAATTCATCTGCGTTTGATCTTCTGTACTAAAGTTGTTACTAGAGCAAGGATTTGCACCTCGAGTGGATGACCGAGGATTGTTCTAATAGATAATGAGCAAAAGATTCAATGGAATGGATGAAACTCTTTCACAGATAACCCCGATGTTAACTGCATTACATACGCAAATGAGATGCGACTCGACTCTTATGTGATGAAGGACATGATTCTGACGACTTCGACTCTAGCAACAACAAAACCAAAGATACTCAGTGACTCCCTTGTGGTGTAGGCAGGTTTGTGTGAAACCTTAGAGGAACAGATCATGTGGATTTGGCTCCCAGGACACCGAAGTGCATTGACCCAGTTAGAGCAAATCGATAGACAGCATTTTGACAGTGACATTGACCATGGCCGGTTGCAAATCCGGCCAGATGCCGACGCGATCAAACATCATCGCAAAGATGGCAAATCAAGTTGTGTTTTCTGCGACTAGCGAGGTCTGCCCCTTCTTCTGCAGGACTACGAGTAATAACAGCAGGGTGAATAGGGATAGCCAACAAAGTTTGTAAACTTGTACAAGATCTTTTTTTCGAGGTATTCCCCACCTTCGTGCCGTAAATGCACTCTACCGTAATGGCAACTACAGGGAGTTGGACTGCTCGTTGAGCAGAGACGATGACTTCTTTCATTTCGAACGCAGACTAACGAACAACATTATAATAACCAAGAATTTGAGACGAACACAGATTTGCCCAACTTTGAGAGACAGTTGAGCATTGATGGGCGCCAAGAGTTTAAGATGAAAGATGGATTCGCCCAACTTCGACAAACAGTTGAAGATTGAAGTTTTCTCAGTAGGTTTCATGCTTGTTTTCAATGTTACAGAAGAAAATCAAGTGAAGCTCATGGCATATAAAGTTAAATATATTATAAAATTTCTCACGTTTGTTCGGATTGTGATATATTAATGTATGATGCGGTACAGAGATAATTTTATTTTATTTAAATTTATTTTCAAATATGTATAATTCTTCGAACTACTATTTTATCTATTTTTTATAAATTACCGAACCGATAATTTTTGAGAAGTAGAAAGTTTTGCTTTTATTTATATTCTCACCATCTTTTCTTAATTTCATATTTATCTTAAATTAATTAAAAAATTAATAAAAATTATAAATATATATAAATAATTTTTTTCTTTAATTTCTTTTATTTAATTATATATATAAATATATATGTAATATTACCACTTGATTTTTCATTTCATTTCATTTATTTGTTTAATTTATATATATATATATATATATATTTTTGCCGCCTTTGGATCTTCTTTTGTACTTAATGTTATATTTTTTTATATAATTTATTATTATATATAATAAGTGATAAATAAAGTATATAATTTGATTGAATATACAAATTATATTATTTTATTAGTTTAAATAAAAATAATTATAATTATCATATATTAATATACAATCTTTTTATAATTTTATAATTATTATATTTTACTATTACATATATTAATAAATAAGTAAATATCAAGTACACAAGTGACCTTTCCATAAGTGCACCACGTGGTCTTTCTTAACATGCTGACGTGGATTTTCCTACGCGGGTCCCACCTCCATTTTCTATTTATACCTCATCTTCTTCACTTTCTTCAACCTCCTGAAAACTTCGTCCATGGCTTCCCCATCTCCATCTGCGATTACAGCTAATGCCAATACTTGGGTCAAACTCAAACCTCACCTCCACCACCATTTTTCTTCTCTTGATTTGGGTTTCTCACTCCCCTTCAACTCCAATAAATCCAATGTAAACTCTGCTCTGCAAACCCCACTTCATCTGAATGATAGTCAAGTGACAGTCAAACAAAGTTCGACACATTCTAATTTGAATCTCTTTCAAAGACTTGCATCCATGGCGTTCGACATGGCCGAGGTGGCCTTAGTCAACTCAGAACGTCAATACCCACTTCCTAAAACCGTTGATCCTGATGTTCAAATCGCCGGAAACTTTGCCCCGGTGCCGGAACAATCCGTCACCCACCAACTTTCAGTTGCCGGGAAAATTCCGGAATGCATTAACGGCGTTTACCTCCGTAACGGCGCAAACCCAATGTTCGAGCCTCTCTCCGGCCACCACCTTTTCGACGGCGACGGAATGGTTCACGCCGTTAGTATAAAAAACGGCTCTGTAAGCTACGCATGCCGGTTTACAGAAACTCAGAGATTAATTCAAGAAAAACTCCTCGGCCGGCCGGTTTTCCCCAAAGCTATCGGCGAGCTCCATGGCCATTCCGGCCTTGGCAGGCTTCTTCTTTTCTACGCCAGAGCTCTGCTTGGTCTCGTCGATCACAGAAACGGCACCGGAGTAGCCAATGCCGGATTAGTCTTCTTCAACAATCGTCTTCTAGCTATGTCCGAGGATGATCTTCCTTACCAACTTCGAATCACTGATACAGGCGATCTTCAAACTGTGGGACGTTATAATTTCAACGATCAACTAAAATGCAACATGATTGCTCATCCAAAGCTCGATCCTGTGACAAACCAGCTCTTTGCTTTGAGCTACGACGTGTTGAAAAAACCCTACTTGAAATACTTTTATTTGCACCCTAGTGGAGAAAAATCTCCAGACGTGGAAATTCCTCTGGATTTTCCCACAATGATTCATGATTTCGCCATAACAGAGAACTTTGTTATCATCCCAGATCAACAAGTTGTGTTTAAACTTAAAGATATGATTAGAGGAGGTTCACCAGTGGTTTATGATAAAAAAAAGAAATCAAAATTTGGTGTACTGAAAAAAGATGCTGTAAATTCATCGGATATTATCTGGGTTGAATCTCCTGATACGTTCTGTTTCCATCTCTGGAATGCTTGGGAAGAACCAGAAACAGAGGAGGTAGTTGTTATAGGATCATGCATGACGCCAGCAGACTCCATTTTCAACGAATCCGACGAGAAGTTGCAGAGTGTCTTATCTGAAATTCGACTCAGTTTACGAACAGGTGAGTCAACTCGTCGTCCGATAATCTCGGACCCAGATCAAAACCTAAACTTAGAAGCTGGAATGGTGAACAGAAACCGACTGGGAAGAAAAACCCAGTACGCTTATCTCGCCATTGCAGAGCCATGGCCAAAGGTTTCTGGATTCGCCAAGGTGAATCTCATTACAGGAGACGTACAGAGATTCATTTATGGCGATAGAAGGTACGGAGGAGAACCATTTTTCTTACCCAGAAACAAGAATTGCGAAGAGGAAGAAGATGATGGGTATGTTCTTACTTTGGTGCATGATGAGAAGACATGGAAATCAGAATTACAGATTGTAAACGCCATGAATTTGGAGGTAGAAGCTTCTGTTAAGTTACCTTCAAGAGTTCCTTACGGGTTTCATGGAACTTTTGTGGATTCAAATCAACTTGTGAATCAAGCATGAAACAAATGGAGAAAGATATTTTCTTTTTCTGGTATTTGTGGATTGAATTATCAATTGTATAGTAACTCAGTGGAAGAAGATTTTCATGAGATGAGATGGATGTGCAGAGGATAATTCCCCCCAAAATTTTATAATGTATATATATATATATATATATATATATGTAATTTAAAATTAAGAAGACAATTTAGCAAATATGTCTCTCTTTGTTGACTTTTTTCCTCATGTTTTTTTTTTTCTATTTTGATTTTTTAATTTCAGAACCAGCTTGAAGTTTTTGTTTATTTGTATTTGACCCCAGCTGTTTTCTGTTTTTTTTTAAAAAAAAAAATTAAAATTTTAAAATTTCTCGTATGTTCTTTTTTTAAAAAAATTTAGATATCCGTCGAATATTTTTATATATATTTTTATTAATTTATTTTATTTATTAAAATAGTAAATTAATTTAAAACTTGAAATAATCTGGTAATACATAATAAACAATCAAAAACTCAAAGTGTGATTGAGAACTCAAGAGATCCCAAACCATCCTATAGGTCGGATAACAATTTTTTCTCGTAGATTGAGTTAAAACCTAATACTAATAGATTCACCGTAGGTGATCAAAACAAGGACAAATGGCTCCATGATTTATGACGAACATGAGCATTAACATATTAAACATTGCTAAGATTAGAGGTATTCTTGAAGGTTTGAAGCTTGTTTAAGCGAAAAGTGCTTTGCATATATTATTGAAGTCGATTATCTATATGTGAAAGTTTTATTATAGGAATTGGCTTACTTAGCAAATGTGGAGACGCTTAGAATGACCCAATTTTTTTAGCTCGTTTACAAAGAACAGGAGATCCAATTTTCATTACTTATAGAGAAAGTAATATATGTGCTAATCGATTTATAAAACGGGCACATAATTATTATATTGGTAGCATTTTTCTTGAAGAGCCACCTGATTAAACAAAGCTATAGTTGTATCTCCATTCCTGTAATTAAGCTTCGTTTTATTTGATTGAAAACTAGTTTCTTTCTAATTTTCATATTTGTATAAAAAGAAAAAAAAAAAGGTTCTTAAAAAGAAATGCATATCGTGAACTAAACGGGTTTGTTATTGATATTTATGAAGTATAAATTTATTCGTTTTATGTTGCAAAGAATCTTTTATTTTTGGTTATAAGGGGAGGAAAAAAAAAAACTAAGAGACCGAACTAGTATCCAATTAAATGAGTCCACGCAGTGTCATCAAGATCAAGATGGAAAGAGAGGTTGAGGATCCTCGAGATGTGCTCTAATCCAGTAATTGTTAATTGGAAGTTGTGAGCTCAATGAACCAAGTAGTTTGCACATGTATTCCTTTCATGATGTATGTGGTTATCTTAGATATTCCAAGACAATAGATTCCCTTCCCTTTTAAGTGGTGGAACCTCAATAATGATGGTTCTTCAAGGGAAGTCTCTAGTGCTACCACCACAGGTGTGAAGTTCATCATAACTTTGGCATCAGCATATCAATGCTTGATGAGGCCCAAGAGGTATTGAGAAGTCTGTAGTTTGGATGAAGGAATTAAAAAGTCATTACAGAAGTTAACTTCTTTTATGTCAAACAGCCTTTATATCAGCAATAGATGTCGTAGACCTACCACAAAATTTAAAGCCCAAAAAATGGTCATTCTTCGATTGAGACATAAAAGGAAGACAACTTCTACATAAGTTTAGTTTAATATTTGACATCAATAATAGAAGGAAAAAAGTGAAATATGTTATGAAGCTAAAATAACAAAAGAAAATCCTACATATTTAGTAAAAGAAACTAAATTATTAAGTATAACTCATAAAGATTTAAGAGGACATTAAAAAAATTAAGGCTAGAGCCAAAAAAGAAAAGATATAGTAATATAACATTTATAAACAGCTTTTCAAGATATACTAAATTATATCTATTAAGAAATAAAGATGAAATTATAAAAATATTTTTAAATTATAAATTTAAATCAGAAAACTAATTTAATAAGAAAACTGAAAGAACTTGATCAGACACACACACACACATATCGAAAATATATTAATAAAGGAAATTTTCTTTCTTTTTTTTTAAAGGATATATATTATAGAAATAACGTCTCTATACTCGCTTAAATTTGATAAGGTAGGTCAAAGGAGAAATAGAACTCCTAAAAAAATTATCAATTCCATTTTAATTATAATGTGTTTGATAATTTTGTTAGAGGAAGCTATCATTACTACACGCCACATTTAAAACTTAATTCCTTATTGGAAAATTGGTAAAGAGTTCATGAATTATGGAAGACTATTCACTTAATTTAAATACTTGAGAGTGTGAGGGTATTTTGTAAAAGTTCCCTTGAACATAAGAAAAGGAAGACATGATTTTGACGTGACAAAAATAAGATGAAGTAATGGTCTAATGGTATCATAAAAATATAATACGAAAGGTTTCTTAGGAAATTTTTGCACTTTGATAGCATTCATGTCTTAGTTTCATATGGTGCTAATTATCAACTGAATAAAACAAGAAAAGAGAGTGCATCTTAATGCGAATACGAATGAATTATAGGTATTTTAATGCATTTAATGAATTAGACACAACATGACATTGGTTATGTTGTGTCAATGTCATGTTGTGTGTAGATTGAATAAATATACTGATAATCTACATTACAATTATTGGAACGCATTTTATTTCAATTTTGAAGTATCTAAGTAGAATAACAAATTATGGTATACTACATAATAGATTTTTCACTGTTCTAAAAAAAGTATAGTGATGCAAATTGAATCTTCAATTCAGACAAGACAAGATCCACAAGTGGTTTATGTTCATTCTTGGTGGAGGTGTGGTAGCTTGAAAGTTTGTTAAATAAATGATAATCGCCAAGGCCAAGTTAACTAGAAAATCAAAGTTTATAGCTCTAGAGTTGGTAGGTAACGAAGTTGAGAATTTCTTAGCTCACATTCTATTAAGAATAAAACTAATCCCTTTTGTTTCTATGCATTGTAATTGCTAGGCTGCATTAGCCATAATGGACAAATCAAATAATGATAAGTATAGATATATTTGCCTAGGACATAATATACTAAAGTGACTGTTTAAAGATAGAACTATATCTAATAATTATTTTAGTATATTCTCTAGCTACAAAGGTTGGAATAGATTTTATTAATGAATTTGGGACATCGTTAATTCATATATAAATTACTCCCTTACATATACCCTGGTTTTTCTAGCTAAAGTATTTTACTTTATGTTTCTTCTTATTTTCACACTTTCTTATACAGGCTTTTACTTAATCCAAATATTTCAATAGTTTTCTTATTTTATTCTTTTGGTTGTAGTATTGTTTTATGTTTGTTTTGTAAAATAAAAAAGTACATGAGACCATTTTTTAGAAGATAATAAATTTCAATTTTTTCTCAATTAAAAACTATTTAATCAAATCTTTTTTTAATATATTATTTACATGTTTCATGATCAGATTCTTATTTTGTATTTTCAAATATTTTAGATGATATATAATACATAAGATTGTGTTCTTCATTAGTACTAAGTTGGTAAAAAGAACTTAAATATAATTTTTTTTTTAATATTTAGAATCACAATCACAATAAAAACCAAAGATTGTTTCTCGTTTTCATATCTCTATAACCAATTGATATGCTTTATTAGTGATATTCTCTATCTTTTATGTTCAAGCTTTGAGAAATTGATTGATAACCTTTTTCTAGACATGTCATTTCTTGAAAATTTTGGTCATCCTTTCTTATTATAATGGGTGCTCACGGGGTCCAGTCTGGCTCGATCAGACTCTTATTCTTTTACTTTCATTCACTTGGGATCTCTCTTATTTCAAAAAAATTTGATTAATATTACATAATGCTATAATTTAGTCTAACTAATTTGAAAGTGCTTTGGTAAAAAAAAAGTTCGGTCTCAGAAAAAATATGTGATTGATTTGTCTTAAGATTTTTTAGTAGACACAAAATGAGATCTTTAGGATTCTCTTTGTTTTTCTTAGGCACGAGAATTTCCTTCAAGTCTCTAAACATGAATTTTAAAAGTTTCAAAGGTTTCTTTATTCTTAGGTGTCTCACAACCCTTTAATGGGTGCGTTCAAGTTCAACGTGGATCACTTTGTGGTTGGTATGATCAATGAGTATTGATAATGCTTTAAAGGTAGAGCGGGTAACATTCTAGCAGTCTTTTAAAAAGTATTGGCTTTCATGACTCTAATTTAAGAGAACTCCTGGTAATATAAAACTATTGTTTTATATCTATGTGATGTTATTAATGGTTAGTGACTTAGCTGTGACTATTTTCTGGGTCAATGACTCATTAACTGTACAATAAAGATATAATTAATTTTTGCATTTGATAAGATTTAGATTAACTCTTCAACTAATGTTCTTTTCTAAAAATATTCCAAGAAAGCAAAATTCTCTAGTCGATTAGCTTGTAAATTTGGGAGTTAATGATTCGTCAGATATCTTCCCTTAGTACTATCGGCTACTTTTTTTTTTCTTTTTTTTTTTTACTTTTTTAGAGGCTTATGCTCTTTATGAAGATGTCTTTTATCGAGAAATACCTTTTTTTTTATAGTTAATTTGGTTGTTGTCTAGAATTTTGTAAGTTGTCTCTTTCTTATTCTTGTTCTTTTTAAAATTGTCGCCTTTGTAAAAATAAAAATACTATTGATATATAGTAATAGAGTTTTTAAACTAGCGTTATATTGTATGATAAATAGTCAAACATAAGTCTTAAAATTACTTAAAATAAATAATATGCAAATCGTAATTTTTCCCTTTCCTACAATTAATTTAGTTTTCTTCTTTCACATTTTATATGGCATTCATATATTTTTTATTGTTAAATAACATAACGTTCTTAATTATAAATTTATAATGCTATAATATTCTCCGTATCTTCGAAACATTCAACTTAGTATTTTTTTAATAGAAAAACGTAAATATTCACCGTAATTTATTTTATTT